CGGATCTGATCAGGGCATCTGTTTCATAAAAATGCAAAGGTGCTTTTGAGGCAATGGATCAAGCTGGTGAAGCTGAAGAAATAGTACCAGAGAGCATATTCTCTGGTGTTCCCTAAAAGTACCTGCTTGTTGTGAGCAGAATTGCAAGGCGATGAGGTGTAAGAATTACCTAGAGCAATGAGCAGTGGAAAAGGTGGTCAAAATTGGGAATTCATAAGTCAGCATATTCATCACACACATGGTACTCTGCGCCCAGTGTGGGACTGTAGATTTAAACCAGGTTCTTGCACTCAGAGGGGTTAGATTCAAATAGGGGACCTAAAACCTAAACAAAAACAATGGCAGAGGCCCCGAGAGAGGTTGATTTTCTACCAGCCTGTTAATTGTCCTCAGATTCCATTTGGAATATGACTTCCTAATAAAAAGAAGATTGAAATGAATGGGTTGTACTAATTGTTAATGTTCCAGAACCTTTGATTCAAAAACTATGAGAGGGATTAAAAACTTACCTATTGGGCACAGGTGGACACTGTTCTGGTGACAGGCACACCAATAACCCTGACATAAGCACTGTACAGGGTATCCATGTAATAACAGAAACACTTGTGTGCCCTTAATATTTTGAAATAAAAACAAAAATAAACTATGAGAATAGAAAAATCATTCCTTACAAGGAACAGTCAAAGAAGGAAATAAAAGGAAGTGGTGGTCTAACATTAGAAAATTTGAAGAATTGGCCCATCATCAGCCCAGAGGAATTACTGTGTACCTCGTAAGTACAGTGTCTGGAGAAGGAAAGGGCAGAAAAATTTGGACAGTGGCAGAGGAAGCCCGAAGGTGGGCATTAAACAGAGGGAATGGGAGGGCAGAGGTTCCAAACTGGGAAGGTGGTACAGGGCTGAGTCCAGTGAGGTTTTAATCTAGCCATAGAAAATTGTAATGAGTATAGTATCTACGATGGCTTAAAAAGATGTCCACAAATTCTTCGATACTCCTTTCTTCAGAGGGTGGAGCCTGTTCCTCTTGCCCTTGGGCATGGGCTGTACTTACCGACTCACCTGTAACGAATAGAATGTGGTGGATGTGAGGGTGGGCAACTTCCAAGACTGGGTTACTAAAGGTGTCCTGGGCTCCTTTTTGCTCATGTGAGCGCGCCACCTTGGAAGGAGATCCTGCATCCCTCATCGAGCCTTCGGGTGACCACAGCCTCAGCCACCATCTGGACTGCACGTTTCAAGAACACGTTAGGTTCTTTGACAAGCTTAAATTTAGAGAACTCTGTCATGTCAGCGCACCAGTACTCGTCGAGGGGGCGAGTGTGGCATGTTCCTTTTTCATGTGATTTCCCAAGTCTGTTACGGAAAGCAAAGCATGGAAAGGCCACAGCCGGTGAGAGCAGGGCTGGCAGAGCTGCCTCCTGGGGACTCCTTCCGCCTCAGGCTCTCTCTGGATGTGGGGTCATTGGGTGGGGAGGAGCTCTGCTTCCATCAGATCCAGGGCTCCATCTGAAGGGAAGAGACCTGTGCTTACTCTCTGCAGCAGTGTCCCAGCTGTCCCAGCAGGGGACATTCCCTATAGCAGGCTCCTTAGGACAGAATCAGAAAGGTACCTCAGTCGGGAAAGGCTCTCTCCAGCACGGGCTGCTCCGCGCGTAGATCAGATTTGCCTCTTGTTCCAGTGGCTCCAGCGCTGCTGGTGGTTGGCCCAAATTTTATTTCAGTTCTCAAACCGCATCAGGAGCCCCTGGAAGTCTCATTAAACACAGGGTGCTGGGGGTTCACTCACAGGCGGGGCAGGGCCCGAGGGTTTGTCTTTCTCTCCAGTTCCTGGGTGAGGCCACCGCTGCTGGTGCTGGGAGCACCATCAGTCTCGTTCGTCTTCAGACGCCATTGCAAGGTGTTTCATGGCAACTTATAGCAGTGTGTGTTAGTATATAGAGTGTTCATTTTCACATTTCCTGCAGAAAATCTACTCTGTTTGAACCAAGCACACTTCCAAACTTTCAGCACAAGTTGGTTCCTGCTTGGCACAAGTTGGTTCTGTGTCCTTCACTTTAAGGTTTCTGCTCAGGAGCCCGAGAGATTAAAAATTACCTTTTCTGCTGTGTTCCTTTCACTGCTGTAACTTACACACACATGCATACAAACAGGCACGCGCGCGCACACACACACCGTGACGTTAAATTAAGGAGCTTAAATTAAAAGCAAATTTCCCTATTCGAAAAGTCATCTGTTGATCATTTGACTTAATTAAAATCCGGGTGTGTCATGTATTTACAACTGATTCCCGTGCTGCAGCCACTAAAAATGATGCCACTCTGTCTGAGTTGATTAAAGTGTCTGTGACACCAGCACAGCACCTGGCTCATGGTAAACTGTAAAGGTGAGATCACCCTCCATCTTATTCTAAAGGCGCAGTTTACAGCACAGAATATACATGCTTGTAAGAATATTAATAGCAAGGAACTTGAAACTAGAATAAGTTTCAATAAATTTTTAAAGAAAACCTGAAGCCATCAGGAGAGGGTTGAGTAGTTCATAACGTATATATTGTTGTACACAGTGCTGGGTGATTGGCCCTGGCGATTCTCCTAATCCTCGAGGACTGATAACATAGTGACCGTGCCGGTGGTGCCGATGCCCTGGGCCTTGCTGGCACGTGGTGTATCAGGCAGTACCTGTTTTAGTTTCTTTTACTTTCAGAACCACACGTGGCAACTAACGTGGATGGTAATACTGAGAACAGCGAGGCTAGCTTCATCTGTCTTGTTGTTCAGTCCTGGGAAAATAGTAATGATCTGAGAATTGTGCCATCACGCGATCACCTAGAATGTCACGTGGATAGGGCTGGTTGGCATGATCATCCGTGACATCAGGGTTCTGTGATCCACTGAAATAAAATTTCAAGTTCTGCATCTCTCCCAATCCTCCCCTCCTGCTAGGGGCTGGGTTTCTGAAAATAATCTGTAGCCTGAGACCTAATCTGAGATAAATCTTCCAGTTTCTTCCTGAAGTGTCATCCAGAGGCATTTCCTGGGGCTCCTCCAAGGCATCAAGCCCTGGGTTTAGCGTGGAGATGAGATGGGGCCTTTTCCTCAAAGATCTGTTCTTATTTGGTCTGTTTTCGGCAGAGGCGCGCATAAATACAAACTGTAAACATGACCGTCCCTTTCGTGTATGCTGACAGCTGTGGCTGGTGGGTGAGCACAGCTGCCCTGCACAGTTTAGATTTTCTCAGACACCCGTTCCCTGTCGTCATCGGTGTCGATGGAGTGAGTCCTTGTTTTGCAGGAGTTGCACACTTCTTGTCAAGCATTTCTTATTTGGGCTTTTATGATCTCAGGGTGAGAGACAGTAGCATGCGCACTTGTCAGCTTTGTCTGGAGGTCCTGCTGGAAGGTGGCCCTGCTGGGTCCTCAGCAGCACGCAGTTCCTGGGCATTGGGAAAGGCAGAAAGCTGGTCTAGGACTTCTGTGGAGAACTGCGTTAGGCTGCGGTCCTGCCACTGGCAGGGCGTGACCTGATGCTGTGTAGCAAGCCGGGCGGGGGGCCAGGGGGAGAGCGTGCCTTGTGTGGGGCCAGCGAGGCTTCTTAAGGGCAGCGTTCCCTTTGAGCTGAGCATCAGGGGAATGGTTGACCACAGAGTTCAACAGAGGATGGCCCCAAGAATGACATGAATAGGAGTGACAGGGGGCTGGGGTGGGACATAGTCTAGCCTGGGGGACTGGGACCAGGGGCCAGGGCAGGGGCCAGGTGGGTTTTATTTTGAGGCCTCTGAGGGAAGCCAGGGTCCCTCCCCTCCCCCAGCCACACTGCCCCCTCAGTGCTGCAGAAGAGGCAGGTCCCGATTCCCTGAGCACTCCCCCACCAGCCCACGCCGGGCGTAGCTCAGGCTCACTGCACTTAGAGGCCTCTCCTGACCCCCCCAACACACGTGTGCACACACACACCCATACACACATTCACACTCATGCACACACACACTACACATGCTCACACACCTTCTAACGTACACACACACTTAGTTTGCCTCCTCTAGCTCGTTCTCTCTCATGCAACTCTCCTTTTTTTCTGTAGAACTTACCACAGTTGGCAACTGTAAGTCCACTTCCTTATTTATCTGCTGCCCTACTGGGTTGTCACTATTCACGCTTACGTCCTCATGCACACATGGACATATCCAGGGCACAGCCCGCTGGGCATGTAGTCAGTGTTTAGTAATTGTTACTCATTGAATTAATCAATATATATTTTTTTTTTACAAAGAACATTCCTCATTATCTTTCTTGCATGTTTTTCAGTAAATGAGTTAAAAGACCAGTTTTAATTAACATAATGACATATTTCTAAAATAGACCCAAATATAAGTATGGCACTGACATATCACAGAATTTAAATATTTCTCAACAAAATCTGTGCTCGAACCACAGTGCAGCCCCCTCTAGGATATTAGGAACTATATTTAAAATACAACCAGAATTTTCCACTGCTCTTAATATTTTTAAATGCTTAGAATTAGAAAATTTCTGATGGCTTAATTGTAATAGCGTTAAGAGTCAGAAGAAGAGATTTCTAGCTGCTACCTGTACACAAACCAGTCTTATTAAATTGCCAGGATGGACTTTATTCTCCAAAAAAATAGTTTGGGAAATGAAAAAATGCAAGCAAGCTTCTTGAGCACCCAGGTTAGCACAGGTGTTGTACATTCCACAGAGTGTCCACTGTTCAAGTAACTAAAATGCATTAGTGCTGAAACTGAACTAAGCAAACTCAGACTTGTCTCCGATGCAGAACTTCAGAATCTTGGGCTGCATCTGGGTCATTCTGAACATCAGATGCCCTAGTAGCTGGTCAACAGAGGCCAGACGTCGGAGCGAAGGGAGGTGTGGATTTAGTTAAGTGGAAGATTCAGATAGTTGTACCCAAAATAGTTGGTAGTCACGCAGGGACAGACCTCTCCTGCCGTGCCCGGTTGTCACTCGTGTTCTGTTTCCTCCCCAGCCCAGTGACTTCTCCGTGTCTCTGAAAGCATCAGGGAAGAACAAACATTTCAAGGTGCAGCTCGTGGACAATGTCTACTGCATTGGGCAGCGACGATTCCACACCATGGACGAGCTGGTGGAACACTACAAAAAGGCGCCCATCTTCACCAGCGAGCATGGGGAGAAGCTCTACCTCGTCAGAGCCCTGCAGTGACGTCGGTGCCCGCGGCCCTGCAGCCCACCAGCTCCAGGCTTCGGTGCCACTCACCTCCCCAGAGCCCAGCAGTCAGGTCTCCCAGGAGCGCCACCCACCCAGCTCTGCACAGAGGCTCTGCCCTGCCAGTGGGTCATCCTGGTCGGCCCCCTCTGCCTAGTCTTTCTGTTTGGGTCGGTTGGTTAGTTGGTTTCCCGTTGCCATCCAGGCCCTCACGCCCCTGCTCCAGCCACCCCGCATCCCAGCCAGTTTTAGAGAAGCGGAGGGGACGGGGGTGAGCTTGTTCACTTTATTCCTTTTCAATTGGCAGTAGTGCTAGTCTGTTCAAATTGTTCATGCTAACAGAACCCCTCGTTAAAAAGACATTGGGCGCAGTGGGAACCCACCGAAGCCGCACTTAGCAAGGGAGTGAGCCACAGTACCCTCTGAGGGTGGTGTCCCAAGCTCGGGGCTCTCTGCATGCCAGGCAGCAGGTGCGAAGGCTCCCCGGTCCTAGCAACCCTTGTTCTGTGCCCTGTGCCCTTACGTGGCTCCCAGACTCTGCAGGGAGCAAACGCGTTTGCTGATAGCAATACTGGAACCACCGGGTGAGACGGCGGCGAGGAAGCTGTCCAGTGCCTTTGGGGCTGTGCTTGCAATAAAGAAAGAATTTCCCTGAAAGTCAGTCTGCGGAAGAGGAAACCAGTGACTCAGAAAGACAGATGTTTTCGTAATTTACCCTCATATGTGCCATCCACATAGTGCTTTTTCCTCTTGCCCTTCAGCTTGTTTGAATTTCACAATTATGTATTTAATTCTCAAAGAAATATGTATCTGTAGCCGTTTATTGACACTAATACAGATGATTAAGGAAAACAGCTGATCTTGGGGGAAGGGGCGCTACCAACACCTCTCACACACACACACACACACACACACACTCTCTCTCTCTCTCTCTCTCTCTCTCTCTCTCTCACTCTCTCTCTATATATATTATTTGCTTTACAGGGAAATTTTCAGGGTTTACAAAAGAATATGTGATTGGTTGTAAGAGACACAGAATGTTTATGAAGAAATTGCATTTTCTTTTTCCTTTACATTTGAACTTCTTTATAGTTAAAATATACAGTCTTGAGATGGCACATTCCTACAATTGAAGAAGGGGTCTTGGGATCCCCTAAACTTGCATACCCGGTTTTTTGGATATTGTAATAAAAAAAGTATTATGACAAGACTCTGTGTGTGTTTATCTTTGGGAAAACTGTGACTCAGTTTTGGGAGAGTAATTACTGCAGCATTTAACTGAATGCTGTTGCCAGCTGGGAAACATTTTTAGAAATGAGCTTAACCAATTTATTAACCTGTGGGTTTTCTTTTTCTACCACCACTTTTATATATTGAAATAACAAGTTTTAATTAGTGAACCTCGAACCCAGAATCTCAAGCTTGGTCTTCAGGAAATTATTTCTTTAGAAATGACTTACTTACCAAACTGCTGTCAGCCGGAGTCCTCACTTCCAGTGTGGCCCTCCACTGATGTCTCGCATCTGTCCTCTCAGTCACCGAGCGTTTATTGAATCACCACCATGTGCCAGGCACCAGGAACGCAGAGTTTCCTGCTGCAGGCCCTGAGCCCTGTGTCCTCACTTGTTCCCCATCACAACCCGATGAGGTGGGTCCTGCCATCATGCCCATTTTACAGATGGAGAAAGTGAGGCACAAAGTAGATGCGCAAGGACTCATGGCTACTGCATGTTAGAATAGGATGCAAAGCCCAGGGTCTGCTCCAGGCCGTGCCCTTCCAACCCCAGCCTAGGGAGGAATTCAAGAGAAACGAGATGTTTCAGGAGAGTTTGGCATACTCTACCATTCCTGTAGCCTGCGAGGTCATTGTTTCTTTTTGCTGCACTTGATTATAATAGACTAGAAATCTGGTGCCTGGTAGCTTAGGTTGGCAATGCCCAGTCATGTGTGAATAGACATTCAGGTGCGTGAGGCACATCATCACCTTAGACAACATATCTCTGCACCTTACCTGAGGATAAAATTCTTGTACACCCTTCCAGGTCTCACTGTTGTGTGTGACATTTGACCTAATGCTAGAATCCATCTAAATGTTGAGTGCCTGGACAGCTGAAAGACCTTGATTTACACATAGCAATTCAGGAAGAAACAAGTAATTAAAGGACAAAAGACTGATTTACGTTTTGGCTTCAGGAACTTCTTTAAGGCCTATAGTTGTAATTGGCAGTTATTTTCAATATTGTCACAAACTGCCTTGTGAAATTTCTCCAGCTGCTTGCGGTAGATCAATGTTAGTATTTTTTATTAAGGAACCAGCACCCTGGGATATCTTGGAGTCAGATGGACCAGCAGAGGATGGATTGACAGTCCCAGGATGAGCCTATGGAGAGGGTGAGACGGTGAGGTAGAGACCCCACGTGGTTTGCAGTGTGACCACCGATGCTCTGGCCGGGTGGGCTGTGCCGTCAACCTTCCTGAATGTCCAGAGATTTCCTGAGCAAATCCTGTTTTGCTGTTCTGTTGCCTCTTTGTACGGACAGCAAAGGACAATAAAGGTTAGTCATTCTGTAGCTGGGTAACTTTGCTCACTTGTTTGCATTTAAATGTGCCTTCCTTTTACATAAACATCTAGCCATCTTGCTGAATCAAGATACATAAACACCAGGCCCTTCACATTCAGTTTATGGCCAAATGCTATTAAATGATGTTTCTAGGGAGCTAAAACGATCCATCTTTTTCCCCAAAGTGCATCACAAATCAAAATCTTAAATTATAATTAGAGTCTTTCTAACTACTGAAGCTGGTATTTCCAAACAAAGCATTTCTGGTTCCAGTGCAATTTTGTCTTCGGTTTCTGTGTGCTAATTGGTTTGTAACCTACTTTTCCACTATTCCTACTGCCCAATGCCAGAATAATTTCTTAAGACCAAAATTCAGAACTCAAAGGATAGAAAAATTTGAAAGCATTATTTTTAAATCTTGCTTTTCAATAAACATGAGTCTAGCTTTGGCCTTCTCTCTAGAATCCAGCACTGTTTATTGTATGTGAGTATGGGATTAACGCGTTCGTTTGCGTTCTGACAGCCTGCCAGGTGCCGGCCGTGTTGGTTCACCTGCAGGCATTGGAGCACCTGCTTGGAGCTGAGCCCCATGGTGGTGCCCAGCAGAACCTTATCAGCCCTGAGATTTCAATCAAATCACCCTGCTTTTCTGGGTTTGCTCACAAGCCAAGTGGGATTGCTATCCATTCACGCAATCCACAGGGTAGTTGGGGTAACCCAGGTAAAGGTGCTTCGAGCGACATGCCACGAACAGTAATGGATGCCTGGCAGGCCTACCTGTGTCACGGGATCTGCTCACCATTTCTCAGTGCCTGGAACTCCTCTGGACCTTGTTAGCTGTAGACGTCCTCAGAGGGCCCCACTGAAGAGCTGGCTCCATCAGGCCCTCAGTGTGGTTCTTACCTAGCAGTCTTGGAACTGATCCACCCTGCTTTCTAGAACTTAGACTCTGCAAGTGTTTGAAGAGGTGTTGCTTCAACAAACTCTGTGGCCCATTTTTCCTTGGAAGCCCAGGACCAAAAGCCACACTCAGCCGCGCTCAGCACTGTCCTTACCTGAGCTGGTTGGCAGATTAACATGCCAAAAAATGATCTTCGTCTGGGTGGGAAACATCTTTATTTTGGGGGTTAGGGAGTGAGGAGGGTGGAACATTCCCAGCTTGAGTCTGACAACACAAGTAAGTACTGGGCAAGAGTTCAATGAGCCAACCAGTGTCCAGAACACCTGTGCCCACTTCTCAGCAGATGGCACTTCCACTGCTCCAAGGACACTGGCCATGGCTATTCTAAGTACCGTTTACTCAGACCTAGAGGGGTTATAATTCCAGCCATTAGAAAATGTGCTCTTTAATGCAGACTTCCTCCACCTCTTGGATTCTGATTTGGAAGGGGATGGAACAGTCATCTGTGTTGTTAACATGCTCCTGGGAGATTCCGATGCAGTGGTTCGGGCCTGCATTTTGGCTGCTACTCTGGGCTACTTGAAACCTTTGGGGAAACCACCTGTTCCCACCCCCTGGCTTGAGGACACACATTAATCTCAGCATACACCTTTTGCAGCATGTCTTTTTCTTTGGACCATATAGAAATGTCTGGTCTTAAATGTCTAGAGTGGTTTTTTTTTTCTTTTTTCAACAGTCCTTATTTACCCTAACCTCCATCTGGGTTCTGCACAGCCCAGCTACTAGCCACACAAGCCAAGTGGAAAGATGCATGATGTTCTATCTTTGGATGATCATGCTACTTGGCACCAAGTTACTACTGAAGATGGATGAGCCTGGCAGCTGGTATAAAAGCTCTCACCTTTGACAGCTTGTAAGAAATGCACGATCTTCTCCCCAGGGGGTGGGCATTTGGCCAACTCCTCGGCTGGGTGACCAAAATCTACAGCCACGGTCAGGAGCCAGAGCACCAGGGTCTTGTACTCGAGCTCCTGCTGGTGGCTGGGGGCACGTGGCCTTCCCGGATTAGGTCATGGCCTGAGGAAGCCCCAAATCCAGAAAGTCAGTAGACTTCTATAAAGCAAAGGGCCTGCTCTCATGGTAGTGGAGCCAGCCCACCTTGGCGTCCACCCTGGGTCTGAGCCTGTCACTCCTCACCAGTGGCACGATCTCTAGCAAGTTCCAAAACCTCTGCCTAAACGGTGACACGCTGGTGCAAAGCTGCATTTTTTGTACAGCCCTTTAAGGGTGATAGTATAATTGTTATGCGTTATAATACATTTAGACAAGGTAAACTGCTTTAACTCCTCACCAGTGGCACGATCTCTAGCAAGTTCCAAAACCTCTGCCTAAACGGCGACACGCCGGTGCAAAGCTGTATTTTTTTGTATAGCCACTTAAGGATCATATTATAGTTGTTATGCATTATTATACATTTAGACAAGGCAAACTGCTTTATATAACGTTAAATGCTTAGCATCTTTGTACAGCTTATTAAATGAGCTTAATGAAAAGGAAAAAAAAATAAGTTAATGCACTAAATCGTTGTCTAAATGAAGCCAGTAGTGAGTAATCTGAGATTCCAGACCACACATTTATAGTATCATAGAGACACTGTTCAAATGATTTTGACCTAGAACTCCATCTAGCCGCACATGGAATCCAGATGGCGACAGTACATATTTCTGCAAGTGCTGAGGGGTTCCCATCCGGTGCAGGGAAGAGCAGAGAATAATAACACTAGGGAAGGCTTGACTTTGAGGTAATGAAACCAACTAAAATATTGGCCCAGCCAGAATGTAGACCTCCCAATAGCATCCCAATCACGTTACTTCTATCACAGCAGTTGCTTTAGGTGTTGGAGGGTCAGGGGTGCCGTCTTTGCTAAAAGTGCTTTTGGAATTCGTCTTTGGGATCGATCCACTCATATACTGTGGAGTAGCCTTTGATTATTGGTGGTGGAAAATCTTTAGGGTGGCTTCTTTTTTGAAGTGGGGAAGGTGATATTGATTACAGAGCTACCTAGAAATCATTTGGAGGAATCAGACATTGTTATTCTCTTCACACTTTTTAATATATCCTAAATTTTCTACAGTAGGTGTGAAATTATCTGAACAAAAAATACATGGAAAGAAAGGTTTTATAGATTTTAAATTGCATGGAACCAAATTGACGGAATAAAAATAGATGTTCAAATTGGTTGTAGTGGTTGTAGAAAAATATTTAGGAGAGAGATTTATGCTCTAGATTTTACTTAGTTTTCTGGTGGTTTAGAAAATAATTGTATCTTTAGTCAATATTTTCACAAAAAACTGCTTGTTAACATGACTGGCAAATTTGAAAATGTAACGAAGTCAATTATCTGAATTCATTAATCTATTATAGGTAATCTAGAGAAAAATTT